CTTCTCTTTCTTCTCCGTCTTTCTTATCTTTTTCTCGCCTCTCTTTTCTTATTTTTCGTCTTCTCACACTTTCTCTCTGTTACCCTCTCTTCAATTCCTTACTCCTCCCTTCTCAAGTTCTTCTTCCTCCCGCTCTCTTTTCACCTTTCCTCTCCATCTTAAATAATAATCAGCTTTTTGCCCTGACTTTATAACTAACTCTGATTCTGACTAAACCAACATGGCACAAATAGAGTTTTTGCCAAATAACCGAGAATCGAACGAGCTTTCTCTCACTGGCTTGAGAATTCAGCTCGTTAACCATTACAGCAAGAGATCCGAATCACTGATATTGTACGTCAGTTAGTTTGACTTTGTTCTTGAGTTATTTTTTTTATTTTTTATTTTTTTTTGTCGGCGGTCAGAAAATCAATAATGGATTTCTTTTATTCCAATCTTGTAAGATAAATGGTTTTGGCATATAAACTGGCAGACTTCGTCGCTTCCTGGAAATGTCATCGACACTTGAGGAATTTGAATTGATCTATAATCAAATAAAAATAAAAGAAGACAGGAGAAGAAAGAATCTTGGACGCTTCCATTGTACTTTGCCTTGTTCAATATTTGCTCATGGGCATTGGGGTTTCAGCGAGTGAAAACGGATAAAGGTCAATTTTTGCTCTTCAACTATTTACAAAAAATACTTTTTCTTTTTTCCTTTTTACGTTTTCTTATCTACACTCTCTAGCAACACCATCGGAGAACGGGAAAACCCTACCAGGATTTATTATCTGTGGGCGTAATCTTAACAATATAAGATATGCAGATAATATTCTGTTGATGGCTCGGAAAGAAACTACAGAAAGAAAACGAGAAAAGGGACTAACTGCAAGAAAACAAAAAGTATGGTCAACAGCAAGAGAAAAAGTCCAAGATGCGAGTTACAAATTGAAGTTGTCGACATCAAGCAGTAGCAGAAGTTTAAATCTATTGCTGGTAATTTTTTGTAACGTAAAAAAAGAACTATTTACCAGCAATATATTTTTCGGAAAAAAAAAGTACGAAAGCTCACAAGAAAATAAAATTTCAGTATTAAATGACCAATAAATAAACAAACACATGCTGCTGGGTATAATTTATTCATTTATTCTCTAGAGAAAAATAATTATCATTAATGCTCCCTGTTTCTGAAGCAAGAGGTGTTTGCACTTATGATCTTCCTTAGTGAAAATCACCAATGGTTTAAAATCCTGACAACGTTACCTTCAACGAAATGTTACAAAATTCGTGAAACATTGTACTTAATCATTGTTTATCTATGTGGCTCTGTGTGAGAGAGTGTGTGAATGAACAAGTGAGAAGAAAAAGAAAGACGTGGCTTTTAAATAAACATTATTTTGATTATGAATTGACATGTGCCATTCCTGATGGTCTGTCGCCTTGACGTGGAAGGACGACTTGCGTGATTCAACGGACCCCAGAGCTACAGGCGCGGGGGCTTCGGTCCTTAGCAGGTTCAACCAAGCTCAACAGGTTTCTGGAGTAGGAGCCAGACGAAAGACACATCCTGGTCCTCCAAGTTGAGGTTGTGCTGTCGGCTTACAACCTACTCACTTAAAAGCTAGCTTGTTACAGAAACCTCAACAATATCTTCACATGACCGAGGAAGAGTCCTTCAAAGTGGAGCGTGTGCCGCGTACTGGTGAAAATCCCCGGGGAGGCAGCTGGCACGACATGGGCCGAGCTGAAGAGGATCGCCCGAAATCGCGTCCGTTGGAGAGGTGTTGTTGCGGCCTTCTGTTCCCCAAAGAAATAAGAGGCATAATGAATGAATCCAGAAAGTTAATCAAACTGTATTTATCTCTCGGGGGTTGAACTTTGCCCATCACTAGACTAGAAGAAAATGAAATTGTCCAAATAATAAAAGAGGCTTTCACAACGTCTGGTCAGGCGGAATCAACAAAGAATGGCGGAGGACAGAGATACACCCGTGCGACAAATTTGCGGCCATTTTAAACAATATGAGAAATTTTAAATTGCAGATTTGATCACTCTATGCCAAGTGTAGATTTTTATGGAACTGAGATTGGCGCGATGCCGAACTCTGTCTTCTTTCACAATCGAACCAATTATGGCATTTGCCAAACTATAGTCTTATTTTCTTTTTTTTCTGTCAGAAACGGCTTCTCTTCTATGAACCATTTACCATTAATTTGAATAGGGAGAATTGGTATCATGCTTTTTTCCAAGTGTATTAATGAAAAATGTACAGAAGCAACCCCGACCGGAAAAGCTTTGAAGGATGCTTAGTCCCGGAGATTTCAACTGCAGTAGTACCTCCCTCGTTGTACTAAAAAACGGGGCTTGGTCAAATACTGACGCCAGCGTGACAGTGGTTGAGGGGACTGGACAATTTTTGTCCTGTGACCATGTCTACGCGCATGGGTACCCAACTTTAATATCTTTCATATCTCGGCACCATCAGGGGTGGGGAAATACCGTTAGCGGTAAAGGCTGGGTTGATTTTTTCTACATATGGGAAATGGGGACACACAGTTAAAATTTAGCCTTTATCAAATTAATAACAGATTATTATTATTATTATTATTATTATTATTATTATTATTATTATTATTTGCTTTGATTTATGGCATGTACTCATTTCTTTCCGGGTCCCAACAAGAGACCAAAGATCAGAAATGGCTTCATGGCATTTTCCACTGAACATTTTTTTTTTAAAAATAAAAACCCCAAAGATCACACGCATTTTATATAGATAAAGTAATGTGCAACTTGTTCTTGTGAGTACAATTCTTTTGTATTTCTTTAAAGCATTGGCTACCAGGAATCCCTTCAATGAATCTATCGGAACCTTTTCCAATCAAACCAACGGCTCCAACTAAGACTGGAATTATTGATGTCATCATGTGCCACATTTTTGAAACTTCAATTTCAAGAGCCTTGTATTTTCATAGTTTTTTTAAAAGATTATTATTATTATTATTATTATTATTATTATTATTAATCAAGTAATTGCATGCGTTTGCGCAATGGTGGCCATTGCTGGAGAGACAGGGTGAGAGCAAAGTTAACCCAAATCTCTAGCACCTTCGTCGGTATCCTTGCAAAACCCAGTAACAAGATGACCAGTTCTGTTGGTTCTCATCTCTGGGAATGTCTGCTAAAAATCCCCTCCCGCCGAACTTATAGATATTCCGTACAGTTGTTGTATATTGTGATTTCTTCTTAGTCAATAAAAATGAACAATTCTCGGTCTTAGACATATTTTTTTACTTTCTTGCTCTGAAGTCACAAAGTTACATATAACCACTTGACTGTATCCCGTTTGCCTATGGAATTTTCTTATTTGTCTTCAAGATGGCTTGCCTTGTATTTGTTCTTTTCTTGTATTCTTATTTTTAATATATGTTGTTCTTTAAATGGGCGCTTACACAACATGACCCCGTCTCCGTTATCCCTTGGACTTATTTAAACCTGTGTTTTGGGCAACGTTCCAAGTGTCCCAATTATTATCGGTGCAACCCACACTTCGTCTTCCATACTCTCCTTTATTACGGGTAAACATCTTGGCATTGTTCCAATGTTTACTTTCTCTTTCGTTTATCGCCGGATTCCATTTGTTCAAAACTATCAAATCCAGATTGAAGAGATTGGTTAGGAAGTAATTCACTATTTTCATTCTTTAGGGCCGGGGTTCCCAAAAGGTACGTTTGATTATCCTATCACCTCAATAACTTTTTCTCAGTTTTCATAATTCTATTATCATTAATCCTCAGTAACCCCTTGCACCTTAGGGGCTATATCGCTTTGATTGAGATGAAATCAGAGTATGACCTAGAGCAATGGTTACCATTTTCTTTTCTAGGCCGCATTTTCGGAATTAAAATTTGCTCGCGACTCACCAAATTTCATGTGTAAAAAGTATATTTAAAAATAATAAAAACAGAGAGTGTTAAAGGGAGATAACCCCGGATTCAAAATCAGAACATTATGATTGATAACTCTCTCCTCCGATTTTCAGACCCTGGTTACTATATTCTTAATACTTGATATAATGCAAAAATATCACAATGATGAGATCAGACAATTATTTATAACTATTTTTACTGGAATTCATCTATGCAATTACAAGTCATCCATAATAATATGTTAAATTTTGAAATCATATTTATTTTTGGCATATGAATTTTTTGAAACTGTTTCTAAATTTTTGATTGTCTTTCAATCATTCAGCCTCACCTGCTATCCTCTTCCGCTGCACCTATGAGATTTGCAGCGCCGTTTGCGAACCACTGCTCCAGACTGATGTATGTTTACTATTTTTAGTTAAAACAGAAAAAAAATGACTACACTTTTATCCAAGCCAAAGAGAAGTGAAATATTTATTGTACTGATGTGATAAAATAATCACTAAATTAAATTAAAAATAACAAATATTGTTTTTAATACCTACATAAATTTGATATATTATCCATGCACCATGCGTGCTACACACTTAGGCGATCATGTATCTTTTCAATACATGACTGACGAGGCAGATATTTTCACGCAGTATGTTGCCATTTCTTTTTGCGGTAGACCAGTTGCCATCCAAGGCTATAGAACCAGGACCGTTCTGCTATTTACCCAGAACTGAGAGGAGAAGAAGAGAATTCATACCTTTCCCAAGGCTATTAGTACGTAAGAGAACGTAATGGATTTGACTGGAATTCAGACTCTGCTCTCCGATTCCTCAATCCGAGCTGCTAACCATTGCTCCACTGTGACTCCTTTTGATATATTATGGATTCTAAAGAACTTTTCAATTTAAGCTGTATGATTAAACAGAGGGGGCAGGGAAATCGTCTCATGCTTTCTGCTATGGCATCCTTTTTACGAAAATTGAGTTTCCCAGACACCATAGCTCGGAATTCAGGGTTGGATATTATGGGTCTGGGGACAGCAATACAGGACTAAACAGTGTGGAAAACGATTGTCAATGAAATTCCGACCAACCATACGGAGGTCGAAGGATGATGATGATGATGATGATGATGATGATAAAGAGATATGAAGCAATAAGAGAGAGAGAGAGAGAGAGAGAAAGAAAGAAAGAAAGAAAAAGAAAAAGTAATAAATGAGAGAGAGAGAGAGAGAGAGAGAGAGAGAGAGTAAGAGATATGAGTTTTCCAGCCACTGCCAACGAACGGACAGGGAAATCATCCCATCCTTACTCCTATAGCATCCTTCTGGAAGTGTCTTCTCACGACAATTGACTTTCCCAGACACCATAGCTCTGGACTCAGGGTTAGACATTCGGGATCTGGGGACAGCGATGCAGGACCAAACAGTGTGGAAAGGAATTGTCAATGGAGTTCTGACCAACCCTAGGGAGGTCGAAGGATGATGACGAAACCGTTAAAATAAATGACAATTCCCTGAAATGTTTACAAAATGCCAACAAGGATTGACTTATCTAGTTTAGTACTGGTAATTATTTATTAAAATTTACTAAATTTAACATAGCCCAGCTGTGACCAAATTATGGGAGACCCTGGTGAGGATCAATCTCATTAAAGTATGAACTATAGGTTTATAAGTACATTATTTACATTATTCGGGCTGTTATGCTCATCTTCATTGCCATATTCACAACGTTTCGGCCTCTATATATCTAAGATGAGGTATTATAATTAATTGCATTATTTACATTATTCGGACTGTTATCCTCTTCATTGCCATATTCACAAGGACACATGGCCCAGTGAATAAAGGCGTTGGTTAGATATAATGGCTGTCTATATATCTGAAATGAGGTATTATGATTATTTACATTATTCGGGCTGTCATTCACTCCTGCTACTAACAAACAGGGATTTTTTTTCTCCTGATGATGGCCATGTTCTTCCTCTTAATTTTATTCTTAATAATTACAGCTAATTTGAATATTCGGCTGTAAAACTCAAAATCGAAAACCTGAGCAGATGTTATTTTTAATTCGTTTCCCATCCGGGCTTTTGTGATACTGATAAATATAAGCTTGCAAATATTCGTAGATATACGAATATTAAAACCATATTCATATTATGATAAAGTTTGAATAAATGTTCTGGATTCCCAACGGACAGACAGAAACTTTAAGTTTTATATATTAGATCTAACGTAAAGTTAAATAAGATCAAATTACGGTGAGTTCTTGTGCACTAAGCCCCGTTATATAAGATAAACTAAGTCAGTTATATAATGGACTTAAATGATTGCTTCGGAGTTGTATGAAGGATATCTGTTGTACGCAAAGGCGATTAGATTTCAAGGAAAGTTATAGACGATGTCTTTCTCGTTTGCCCTTTCAATTTCCCGCTCTTCTCTATTTGGTGTACCTTCACCACCCCTTCTTCTTTCTCACTCTCTCTCTCTCTCTCTCTCTCGCTCTCTCTCTCATTTCCTTCGTTTCGTTTTCTTCTTTACTCTGCCCACCGCTCTCGTCCTTTTCCCAATCACAATATATTCAGGTTTATCTAGGTTTGAATCATATATATATATATATAATATATATATATATATATATATATATATATATATATATCACTCAGTCTTTTCATATCTATCCCTCTCAGGCTGTTCATACCTATCTATCTATCTATCTATCTCAGTCTGTTCATATTTATCTGTCTATGTCAGTCTGAACATATCTACCTATCTGAGTGTTGACTTCAATGTTTACTTATATATATATATATATATATATATATATATATATAAGTAGCCACTGAAGGCACCTGGAGTTTGCGTTCACGCTTGAAACAAATTGTTGCCACTCGGTTTGTGCAATTATATATATATATATATATATATATATGTCACCGATGTAATTTAAATGCATCGTCAATCTTATCTTTTGTCCTTTCCTCAATCCTCCCTATACTCAGTCTTTTCTCTCACTTTCAATCCCTGTAAACCCTCCTGCAAACGAATGACATTGCTTGGGGCGAAATGATTTAAAAAAAAAATGTCTTCATATTTTTTCCCTTTACTCTTATTCAGATCTTGATTAACATATAAAGTCAATCTTCTTGAATGCCGTTTATCTTATATATATATATATATATATATATATATATATATTAGTACAGGTCCGTTGGTATATAGTGGATCCTAGTAATATTAATTATTATGAAACTGCTCAACAGAGAGCTCAATGTGTTTATTATAACAGAGCAGATGTATTTTTACAGCAAAAATCCAAAATGACCTCATGTTGATATAGTCTATTTCACTGCTGCGTGTCAGCTATCCTCAGCTCAAGACTGGAAATAGTATCCATATAGCTAATTTGAAAGAGACTATATCCACATGTGGTAATCTTTCATTTTGCTGTATAATATATATATATATATATATATATATATATATATATATATATATATATATATATATATATATATATATATATATATATAATTTTTTCGCTGAGGAGAAAACTGAGCGACAACAATTTGTTTCATGCGTGAACGCAAACTTCAGGTGCCTTCTGGGGACAGTTTTATATTTGCATACGCTCTGTCCCTATATATATATATATATATATATATATATATATATATATATATAGATAGATAGATAGATAGATAAATAGATAGATAGTATTAGTTGTCATTATATATATATATATATATATATATATATATATATATATATATATATATGAAGAAATATAGGTTTAAGTTGTGCTAGGATAAAGTGCTCAATATCAGAGATATAGCGTATATGAATATTGTATATATATATATATATATATATATATATATTATAATTTTGAATTTTAGGCATGATGAATTGGATTGTGATTACAATTCCAATTTAATAAATTATAGCCATGGAATATTAATGTTTGAGCCTTTTTATATATATATATATATATATATATATATATATATATATATATATATATATATATATATATATATATATATAGGTCGTATTATTTTTCATAATTAAATGGGGGTATATATTTACAGTGTCCAGATTTTCACGGATAAAACTATTTTTTGAATAATAGAAAAATGTTGAAATTAATAGATTTTTAAATCCCTGGTGCTGAATTCTGGAGCACCCGGCAGACCTATATATGTATATGTATATATGTATATGTATATATGTATATGTATATATGTATGTGTTATTCTATAGAGGCTGATTTCACTCATATATTTTAGTGATTGCTAGATTGCAGGGATTACCTCGTATAAAAAGCTTACAGATCTCGTATACATATTCTCCTTTCACTAACGACACCCCGGGAAGGGGCGGCTCTTAATTTAGCATACTGCCATATTAGTCAGGCAAATTTGAGTAGAGGCATCTTTGTTACGTTCACCAAATGTCACCTGTACATGCAAGGGTGTGATAAGATTACGCAAGCCGTGATGGGATAAGGACTGGGATTTATTTATTTTTTTATTTTTATTTTTTTGCCGCGTGCCATTAACAGATGGAACGAATTGTTGTCTATGTTTAAACGTTAAACAACGTTCAAAAATCAACTGAATCGGCATGGCGGGAAAGGACTGCTCTGGGATTTATTTCAGCTGAAATCACGTGACTGAAGACAAGGAGTAGGTCAGCGGTTATCAGCACGGAGAACGGTGTCACCAAACACGAGTTCAAGTATCGTTTATGGCAGCTTATGCTCGTTTTATTTTGAGATGGGCATGAACCATCTTCTCCCTGTGTTCAAACTCTATATTAATCAATTTAACAGTCAATTTATCTCATACAGTAGTTCCTCGGCTATCCGAACACCTTTGGGGCACCTCGAAGCGATGTAATGTTTACAAGCTTGTCTGGCTTGAACAATTATTACTGATTACTGATCCTCACTGGGTGCCTCCTACTTTCGGCCTTCTGCCACATCTAAACTACACTTGGAAAGTCACTATTCGAACACCTTGGGGTAGGAGTTGAAAAAATGTTTTTCGAAAAACGTCATTTCCTGAAAAAAAATTTCTATTATCAAATGTTTTGTTCAAAGTTTTGTTAAGTTTATTTTATTTTTATTTTTTTATTTTATTTTATTTATTTATTTTATTTTTTTTTTTTGGAGAAAAGGCATCATTTTTTTTGCCGGTTTCTGGATGATATTGCGTTTTACTGCCGCCTTATCAGTCAATTTATCACACTCGTTTATCCGGACACCTTCGAGAAGGAGTTGAAAAAAGTTTTCGGATGATTTAAAATTCCGGATAATTGAATTACAGTAAAATCCCTGACAACCTCAGAAGGTCTTCTGGAGATGAGGAATTGGTTACAAAGTCCGGATATGAGGGGTTATATTTAGATTAAAATAAAAGAACTGAAATCAGGTTTAACATTTATTTTCAATGTTTTTTAGTAAACAAAATAAGCTAATGGTGAGTGAAATATAACGGAATTGATTATAAGGAAAAAGAAATAAATTATTAAATGTTAATGAAAATTCATTAAATTAAGTATGCCACGTATGCAAAACAAATAATGTAACAAGGATTTTTTAATCGTTGTTGCATGAAGATTCTTTCTCTTCTAATGTCATTCTCAACTTATTCCACATTTCGTTTTGTTTTTGTTCTTGAATTTTTTAAATGAAATACACTTTTTAACTCAGTGTGCGTTATTGCAATCGTCACAGTTGAATGCTGGCTTTCTTTCCATAAAACTGATAACCTTTTCAATAGCTTTTTCAATTTCAGTCCAGGTTTCATTACAATCATGCATCTTGTCGCTATCTTGTTGCAGATGTGTCTCGTTGTCATCTTTTCCTCTTATTCTCATCATCTTTTGCACCAATACAAGCCATTAGCGTGAAATAAGCATAAGAAAATTTCCTGAAAAACAGAAATTTCCAATCAGTTACATATCAACCATATAGCTCAAATATACACATCAAAATCATGCCCGGATATGCTTGATTCCGGATATGAGGGCTTCCGGATATGAGGGATTCCGGATATGAGGGATTCCGGATATGAAGGATTCTACTGTATCTAAATCACCGAGAAAGTATGAAGAAAATCGTTGTTTGATGAAAGAAATTTAACATTTTTATCAGCAAATAACATTATCAAACGTTTTGTTCATGGTTTTGTCAAGTTTATTTTTTACTAGCATAAAAGTCGCCCTATCCGGCGGCATTTCAGCTAGCTCCTATAGCGAGCACTTGATTGGGCCTTTGGCTTGTTCAGGAG